CTGTGTGTGTGTGTGTGTGTGTGTGTGTGTGTGTGTAGCAGTAGACACACCTGTAGAAAGAAAACCAGGGAAGAAGATCCTACGGAAACCCACACAGGCAACAACAACCACAACAACCACAACAACCACAACTGCTCCACCCACCACAACAACACGACCAACCACCACAACTACCACTACAACCCGGCCCACCACCACCACAACCAGAGCGACAACAACAACCACCAAAGCCACCACTACCAGAAGAACCACCACGACAAAGAGACCAACCACCACCACCACCACCCAGAGGCCAACCAGAGCTCCCACCACAGCCCCGTGGCTCCCAGCCCCCAGAACCACGGCTGACCCTTACTACGACCCCCGCCGAGAGAAAACCACTCCGGCCGGAGATAACCGCACCGACAAGGACAACAGAGATCCACATGGCCGCAGGCTCGTACCTGCTACAGACAAACCCTCCAAGATCAGACCCACCAAGAAGAAGACTGGAGCAGAGAAGGTGACATTCTAAACTCTTTTTCTCTGTGATTATACTTTAGATACTGACACACTGGGTTTACGGTCGTTATGCATTTGGAAATTTAACCGATGACACATCTTTATCTGTGCAGGTGTTGACCAATGAGTACGAGGACCGGTATGTTCCCGTCAACCCCACCGTGGTCGATCTCGAGGAGACCGAATCCTTCACCAACATCAGCCCAACGAAGAAGGTCAAGGGCAAACACAATAAGCACGACAAGAAGAAGAAGAAGACCGACAAGGCGTTGAAGAAAGCCGAGAGGAGAGGAAAGGCATCGAAGGAGGGGAAGATCGGGGGAAAGAAAAATGGGAAGAAGCAAGTGAAATACCCCGAGACAGACGACTACCCAAAACCAACGAAGAAGCCGTCGCCACCTCCGAAAGGATCCCTGGCCTACTTCCTGGACTACTTTGAGAACAGGAGGCGGCTGCTGGTGAGAGCCTGACGTAACTGTCCGTTAGTAAAGGGCTGACTTCCTCTCCTGCCTGGCTTCAGCCACAGGGAACCTTTAGTCCTCACATGATTTAACTGCTGTGATCCATCAACTCCCAGTTCACACATGCACAACTTCACTCAGGCTGAATTCTTAGGTTCTATATGATTTCTTGCCATAAGTCTTTCTGGGAAGAAGTGGAGATGGGTCGTCCATCTTTATTTACTGGCCTCGAGGCTTTATGCTAAGCTAACCTACCTGGGACATACAAGTGGTGTCAACCTCTCCATTTAACTCTCAGCAGGAATTCAAATAAGTCAATTTCCCAATAAGTTAAACTTTTCCTTTCAAATACATGTTTTATATCCACTGGATTCTCTGCATAGTGGAGCTTTAATATACGTTTCAGTGTCATGTAATAAACATAAATTTATACTTTTCACGATAAAAGAAAAAGTAAACCAGAGTCTGATGAAACCATTAAATATCCGAGTCATAAATCTCCAACAGAACTTCACGGTCTTGAGTTGTGAAGCTGGACGTGACTCACGCTGCAGCGTTTAACAGGAAAAGGACGTGATCTATAGTTTATTACAACTCCAACGGGAGGGACTTTGTTTTAGGAAGTAACTGGAAAGATAGTTTTAAAAGCCAAACATCTTAACATCTGGATACTTCATTTATATTTCATTTACAAACCAGACGACCCGTCTGTGCTCCGAGGCAGATAATCATTCACTTGCCCCCCCCCCTCCCCCTTTTTATTTCCAATCATTCACGTTTTTTATGTGTTTTAAAATCGTATATATATAAGTTGCTGCTATACGAGGAGACGTAAACTATGTGGAGCTGATATCTGAGACGCTGCACAGCTGTGTGCTAACAGACTGGGAGTCTCTGTTTTGCAGCGAGTATAGATTCTTATCACAGCAGTGCTTTGGGCAGGCTGGGAAAATATGCCCCATCCTACGCCTGCAGGTTAATCACATCTGCCGCACACTGTGTGTGTATGTATGTGTGTGTGTGTGTGGGTGTGTGTTTCGTTGTGTACACATGACACTCTAACCTCCCTCCCTCCCTCCAGCTGGTCACGTCCCCCAGCGAGGAGAACAGGATGTATGTTCAGCAGAGGGACGAGTACCTGGAGTCGGTGTGTGAAATGGCGATCAGGAAAGTCTCCATCATCACCATCTTCGGCTCCCTCACCAACTCCACCATGAAAATCGACCACTACCAGCTGGGTGAGTAGCTGCGGGGACGGCTCTAACTTTCACGCTTCTCTCAAAAGAAGTTTGTACCTCAAACATCCAGGCGGTAGAAGATGATTGTCAGTTCCCTCAGACGTTTTCCCAGCAGCTCTTCCATCTGGTCGGGTGAACGCCTCCTTCGCAGGGCAGCTCGTGGTCCTCGCAGCTGCTGAGTCATACTGTGAATGATTGTTTATGAGAATCCAGAGTCTCAGTGGATGTTTTCTGTGTTTTAATGTCACAGTGAAGGAACGAGCTGTGATTTATTTCAGTCTGTTCGTCTCCTCTCAGTCTGTAAAAGTCCTAAATATCATAAAGTGGCTGAAGTCTGATTGATTTCATGGACAGTGAATGTTGCATTACGAGCCTCACACATCTGGACTTCGTGTTGTACTTCCAGCGTGTGGAGGAAACGTCACCCTCCGCTCTGGCTTTACCTGGCTGTGTTAGGGGCGTGTCTTAGCGAGACGTGCATAATGAAAATGTGGAGCTTTGTGATGTCACATGATCATCGTGACGATGGACGAGGTGTTTGAGGAGCTGCAGTATTTTCTGATTACTCACAACTACATTCAACCGGACATTTCTTTCTTCCTGTCTCACTTCATCTTCCAATATTCACGACGTGAAGCCCGAGGCCAGGAGCAGTGTCTCCTGTCTTTGCTCCGTCTTCCTCACAAGATGTCCAACCGGAGGACTTGAGCAGTGAACTCTGCTCCAAGTGAAACCTTCAGAATGAACAGTGACTCAAAGCCACAGCAGCGTGCACGTCTCTGACCTCTGATCCACATCGTCTCAGCGTCTGTGCTCAAACTTTACTGAAGTGTTTACTCTCTTTTTTTAACTCCGCAAAGGAAGTTGTTACCCCCCCCCCCCCCCCCCCCCCGTCCATTTGTTTGTTGTTCAGGATTACATAAAAACTACAGGACTGATTTTCTTTAGAATCTGTCGAAGGATTTATTCTTTTAACATTGTGAGAAAGACATTTACTGACTTCCCAGAGAACAATTCACTGAACCACTGCTGCTTTAATGGGAAGTGTTGTTCTGTTTATTTTTGGTAGTCCGCCATTTTAGGTGACGATTTTACAGCCGTCTCAAACCCTTCAGTTAGTGCGTGTTAACGTCCAGACGTTCAAACTCACTTTGTACAAGTTTACGAGTGTCACTCCTCATGACAACGAGGTTTTATCCACATGGAATTCTGGAAAAAGTGGCAAAGTGACGTCACCCACCCCCCACCTCACCACTCGGTTACAGTTTTGTTCCATTTACCGGCCAGAGGGTCTGTGTGTGTGTGTGTGTGTGTGTGTGTGTCTGTGTGTGTACACTGTGTACAAACAACATGTTCTTTCCTCGCTGAAAGAACATGTTGTTGAACTAAACCTCCCTCAGTTCAGTTTGACTTCATGAAGTATGAGTTTTAAGTTTGTTGGTTGCTCAGCAACACAGGCTGTACGACTGTGTGTGTTTGTGTGTGTGTTAGTGTGTGTGTTTGTGTTAGTGTGTGTGTTTGTGGTGGGTTTTTCCTGATTCGATGGCCTCATACACATTACACATCACAGTGTGGGGGAAACAACCACCGACAACCACTGTGTGTGTGTTTGTGTAGTTATGTGTGTTTGTGTAATTGTGTGTGTGTGTTGTGGAGCGAGCGGTGATTAAAGGCTTTCGCTCTGGCCTGTATAAACGCCGGCTACAGTAAATTTCGATGCCTCGGTCTTTGCCAGATCTGACTGAATAAAAGCTGCTCTTTGTCGACTTGTCCCTGATCCACCGGTCGTGTTTCCTCTCTGCTCGTCACTTTACTGTCAAACACACGTTTCAAAGAGCTCTGCTGCAGAAAACACCTTTTATTCCTCTTGTGTTATTAGAGTTAGTTTGATGGGAAAACTTTCCGTCTCAATTGTTCCATGTAAAGACGTCTTGTTGAGTTTTTATCTGTCGGATGAGACGACTGAGAGTCTGATGAACAATAGATTCAGAGTTTTCACCCTCACTCTTCTGTGTCTCCAGAGAACGACAAATCGATGAAGGGTCTTCGTCAGGAGGACCTGGTGAACCAGGATCTGATCACAGAGCTGAGGAAAGAGTTCAGCATGATGCACGATGACTTCTACATGGTCCTGACCGACACAGACATGAGGGTCAAGGTAGGAACCGGCTCTCTGTAACTCTTCTTGTAGGAGCTGCTTCCTCTGCGGTCCTGACTGACGGCTGCAGACGGGTGCAGACGGGTGCAGACGGGTGCGTCCTCACAGTCTAATGTGGAATGATGCTTTCAGGTTTTATTTGCCATACATGTCTCTTTTTTTGGGCAATGCCAGGTTTTATTGATCCTAACATAAAAATCCTGTTTGAACATTTATTTTATTGTGTCTATGAACATTTTGTAATTAATTTACCAGAATAAATCAGTTTTAGTTTAATAACCAAGATCAGTGATGAAAAAACACACCGAATAAATAAAGCAAGAGTGTAAAAGTACTTACTCACACATACTTAACGTGATACAATACAAATAGCCTGTTAATAACATTTAAATATGTAATCACATCTAATAACTTCTCTCGTCCGGTCAAATAATAATTAGTAAGTTGATGAACATGGTAAACTTTACCTGATTCACATCCTTATCTGAGTATTCTGACATGAATATTTATACAACATGGGGAGTTTAACTGTTACTGGTACAAATAAAACTAAGTTAATAATTTCAAATAGAACAGTTCAGGTTAAAGGAATAAACTCAATAAAAGAATAAACTGAATAAAGGAAACAAGTCCTGAACTCTCACATTTAAATGTTATTTATATTTTTCTATTAATTCTAATGAAAAGTTCAAAGTTCTAATCAAAAGAGTTTCACTGCACAGGCTCCATATAACATATATTTAGAATACATAATTACAGAAGCGTTTTGTACGGAAACATATTGCATTCACTTGAAAAAAATAGTTTTTTCTGAGTAATTTATTTTTTGGTTTGTTTTTGTGAAGAAATTTTTCTGTTTTTCGGACAAATTTTTTTTTTTCTGTTTTTCTGACTAATTTTTTCTGAATTTTCGAGATACTTCGAACTCCCGCAAGAACCTCCAACCTGCAAGTGACTCCCATGGACCCATGGTGACTCCTGACCGCACATACATGTCTCATCTCATTACATCTGAAACTTTCTTTCTGAACAAAGTCCTCAGGTGTCTGCGTAGAGACAGAAAAAAAATCAGTCGGAAAAACAGAAGAAAAAAAAATTTAGTCCGAAAAACAGAAGAAAAATATTTTTTGTCAGAAAAACAGAAAAAACATTTGTCCGAAAAACAGAAGAGAAAATAAATTAGTCTGAAAAACAGAAGAAACAAATATTTGTCCAAAAAACAGAAGAAAAATATTTTTTGTCCGAAAAACAGAAGAGAAAATAAATTAGTCTGAAAAACAGAAGAACAAAAATTTTTGTCAGAAAAAACGAAAAAAAATGTCAGAAAACTGAAGAAAAGAAAATTTGGTCAGAAAAACAGAAGAAAAATTTTTGTCAGAAAAACAGAAAAAAAAATTTGGTCAGAATAACAGAAGACGAAAAAAATTGTCAGAAAAAACTGAAAAAAAAATTTGTCCAAAAAACAGAAAAAAAAAAATTTGTCCGAAAACAGAAGAAAAATACGGAGCCCCTAAAGGGACATGGGAGAAAAAAAAAAATGAAACGTATCTCGTGCGCACAAGAAAGTATGTCGCGAGCACGAGAAAGTATCTCGCGAGCACGGGAAGGTATCCCGTGCGCACATGAAAGTATCCCCGTACGCACGCGAAAGTATCTGGTGCGCAGGAAAAAGTATCTCGTTAAGCACATGTAGTTGACCGTACGCCTGTGCTCATTAAGATCATTAGCATCAAAGAATGGCTGCAGAAGTGGACTTATTCTCTTTTCTGAAAACGCGAAATATACCTGGCATGCAATACTTTCACGTGCTCACGAGATACTTTCACGTGCGCACGGGATACTTTCTCGTGCGCACGAGATACGTTTCATTTTTTTTTTTTTTAACCCATGTCCCTTTAGGGGCTCCGTAAAAAACAGAAAAAAACATTTGTCCGAAAAACAGAATAGAAAATAAATTAGTCTGAAAAACAGAAGAAAAAAATATTTGTCAGAAAAACAGAAAAAAATTTGGTAAGAAAAACAGAAAAAAAAATTTGTCCGGAAAACAGAAGAAAAAAATTTTGGTCAGAAGAACAGAAGACGAAAAACATTGTCAGAAAAACAGAAAAAAAATTGTCAGAAAAAACAGAAAAAAACATTTGTCCGAAAAACAGAATAGAAAATAAATTAGTCTGAAAAACAGAAGAAAAAAATATTTGTCTGAAAAACAGAAGAAAAAAAAAATAATTAGTCCAAAAAACAGAAGAACATTTTTTTTGTCAGAAAAACAGAAAAAAATATTTGTCCAAAAAACAGAAAAAAAAAATAATTGGTCCGAAAAACAGAAGAGAAAATAAATTAGTCTGAAAAACAGGAGAACAAAATTTTTGTCAGAAAAACAGAAAAAAAAAATTTGTCAGAAAACAGAAGAAAAATAAATTAGTCTGAAAAACAGGAGAACATTTTTTTTTTCCGAAAAACAGAAGAAAAAAAATTTTGGTCAGAAAACAGAAAAAAACATTTATCCGAAAAACAGAAGAAATTTTTTTGTCAGAAAACAGAAAAAAACATTTGTCCGAAAAACAGAAGAAAAACATTTGTCCGAAAAACAGAAGAAAAATTTTTGTCAGAAAAAAAGAAAAAAAAAATTGGTCAGAAAACAGAAGAAAAATATATTTTGACAGAAATTTTTTTTCAAAATAACAAACCAAAAAATAAATTACTCAGAAAAACCAGAAGTTTTTTTTTCCAAGTGAATGCAACACGCTTCCGTATATAATACATAGATATAAAAGAACGCTCCCGCAGTCACACAACACGGGAACACGGGTCAAGCAGCTTCAGGGGCCTCGTCCCTAAATGTGGCTGCAGAAGTGGTCTAATGGTATTTTAATATTCTGAACATGTTTTTAATAATCAACCTCTAAAGTTTCACGTTTTGCAGCCGACACGTCAGAAATACGTTGTTTTTCTTCTTTATGACATTTCAGGTTTTATTCTCCTCTTTACACGTTGAGCGTTCGTCTGCTCGACACTTTCATCGTCTCTTCCTCTCTGAAGGTGGACGGACCTGTCCTCACGCAAACACTGTTTTAATTCACACTACATGGCATTAGCCCGACACCTGTGTGTGTGTGTGTGTGTGTGTTTGTGTGTGTGCCAGGGTAAACCACCAGGCTGTTTTTGGACTCATCAAAGACGCCAGTGTTCATGTCTCTGCTGACAGAGGCCGAGACAGGGCAGTCTGTGAATGTTGGAGGATGTGGGTGTGGGCATGAGACAGAGAGGAGGAGGAGGGTGGGAGTCAGAGCGACCCAGAGGAAGGTGTGAGAGTGTTTGTGCGGCTGTGTTGAATTTTCCTGCATGTGTTAGATATTCATGTAGAGATTTCTTCGATGAAACGTGATGCTGTGCTCTCCCTCGAGTTATTCTACAGAATGTTTGGCAAAGGTCGAACGAGAACCTTCGCTCCTCCTCTGTGATGTTTCCAGATGTGGGGTTTTTTTCTCCCGCGGGCGCATTGATGTATTTATTCTGTGGCTTCAATCCGTGCCTCTGAGAATGACCGCTTCTTCTTTTGTCAGCAATCCTACGAGGTCCCCATCGCCATGAAGGCCGTGTTCGACTACATCGACACCTTCTCCTCCCGCATCCGAGAGATGGAGCAGCAGAAGAGGGATGGAGTCGTGTGCAAGAAAGAGGATAAGCCCAGGTCGCTGGAGAACTTCCTCTCCAGGTGAGATAGTTCTTTAAAGTGACAGCAAAAGATCTCTCTCTCTCTTGTTACCTGGCTTCTAAAGTTAAACTAGTGAAGCCAGAACTTTTCACAGTCCAGAGAAAGTTCTGACTCACAGTCCAGTAACCACAACACCGTGTTGACATCTGTCCTGAATCCCTCGGTCTGAACTCTGCTTCAGTATTCACTCTTCTTACTCCATCACTTTCTCTTTTCCTCGTATCCTCCGACAACATCTTCAGACGTTCTTCCTATTTTCACTTTTCATACCGTCAGAGAGATTTTGAAGCTTTTCATTTGAAGGAATAAAAAACAACCTAGTGTTGCTTCAAAGTTTCAAATAGAAAATATAAAGTGTGTAGTCGGCCGGTGCGTCTCTTCAGGGTCACTGGTGCGTGTGGGATTTGCTTCCATTCAGAGCTGCAGCGAGGTCGGGTTGTGCTGTTGTGCGTCACAGTCTGTGCTCCAGTTGATCAGGGTGTGTTGAGGTCAGGGCTATTCCTCAGCAAACTCACAAAACCACGTCTTCATGGTTTTATCCACTGGATCATTATGTTTGATGGTTTCCTGAAACTACGGCCACAAAGCCGGTGCACATTATTAATAGTTTACAAACAACCTGTTTCTTTAACATGAAACTACCAACCTCTTGTGTTATATATGAATCCCTCGGCCTCCCTCATATTTGCCTTCATAAAGTTGTCGGACTGAAAAAGACTAGAAGTCCTTGAACTGTGTTTTTCTGAGAAACCGGCGGTCAGCGTTATGTGGGTGGTCCCAACAGGCGGTTCCTGCCTCCATCAAACATCTGCTGCCATGCTCAATAATCAAACCACAATTTATGGCGTTTATAAGCAGCACATCGCAGCAGAGTGTTCCACGGATATTAAAAGTAACATGAACCCCTGCCGCTCCTCGAGGCTGAATCGCTGCCGTCTCATGCTGTATTTTCCCGAGATGTCTGAACCAGACAGGGTGTCTTTTGTTGCCATGGAGACCTGGACTCGGGCTCCAGATCGCAGTGCTGAGATCCGGCAGGTTTTTGACCATAATTTGGGATTGTCATCCTCTGGCAGTTGGGAAATGTGTACGAACGCCTCGTCTCCGTACAGAGCTTTCACTGCTGCACCAACGTGCCACTTAAGTCCGGGCTAAAATTTCCTGTGATTGCAGGTTCCGTTGGAGGCGTCGCCTGTTCATCATCTCCGCCCCCAGCGACGAGGAGTGGGCCTATCAACAGCAGCTCTACGCCCTGACCAGCCAGGCCTGTAACCTGGGTGAGTCACCAGAAATCAATCATCATCATCATCATGGAATCTAAACTCGCATGTTTAAAGCGCCTCTCAAGTTTGGTGCTGTTTTGTTCTGTTCTACGGCCGCTCCGCCTCACGACTCTTTCGGAGGCTCAGACTATTTCCTGTCGCTGCAAACAAACAAACAAAAATAGCTTCACTTCCTGGGAAAGTCTGACCTAAAGGAACAAATGTAAAAACTTAGGATGAATCATCTTTGTGTTGTTTCAGTCAGAATCTGAGTAACAACAATACAAATGTATTTGGGAGGATTCCACCAAACAAGGTCGTGGTGACCTTAACTTTACCCAGACGTGTCCTGTCACTGCCTGAACGAGTCGGACCACGGATGAATGTTCATCACGTGAAGAAACTGACAACACGGAAGGGTTTTGTTTATCACGTGTGTTTGTTAGCTGACAGAACTGGAGCCGCTCTGTTCTCTTCAGCCCGTTAGTCAACTTTTCCACTGTCACAGAAATGAATGATTACTGAACGTCTCAGAGACGCTTTCATCTAGACTGTGTTAACCTGACAGATTCATCAGTGAACTTTAAATATCTCACCACGTACTTCAGTCGTCAGTAAATAAACGGAGTCAGCAGGAGTTTCTTCTCCTGTTCGAGCTTCATGTTCTGGTTTTGTTTATATGAAGTGAAGATTTCTGACGTCTCCAGCTCGACTCTCTCACACGCACACGTTAGAAAACAGATATCTGTCACATGACTTTGACTCTTGTGAGCAGTTCAATCCGCTCGATGTCAAACAGGGAAACACTTTGTGACGGTTAGAAATAATGCTGTCATCCATAGCTAAAGAATCATGTTTTGAAAAATGTTATCTAAAAAAAAATCATCTGAGAAGTTAGAATACAACATCTGTAAAATAATTATTTACATAATTCCATGTGTGTCAGAATGTGTGGAGGCAGTTTTTCCATATGAGCGAGTCAGGTGGTGGGAGCTCGTCTTATCAGTCGACCCACAGGAGGACGGTGAGGACTTTTTTCCACCTCGTGTGTTGCTCTTGGCCCAGTCGGCTAACGGGGCTGTTCCCTCGCTCGCTCCCTCGCTCGCTCCGGGCCGCAGACAAAGGCCCGTCCTGCTGACTGCGCTGCTGAACGCCTCAGAGGTTTGATCCTGGTATTCAGGACTTGGCGCTCACCGAGTGAAGCCAGAGCTCTCCTGTGTTTAATGTCGGCCTTCTGGCTGCAGATTTTTTTGGCAGAACTCTACAGGCCAACGCGGCGTCCTCCCCGTTACCCAGAAACCATTGCTCAGGATGGGTCCAGTAATAAACAGACCTCAGGATATTACAGACGTAATGTTCTGGGTGGAATCTATACGTTGTCTGTCTGACATGTTTGCTTCTCTGACTGTGACGCAGGCCTGAGGCACATCTCCATCCTGAAGTTGGCTGGCACGGAGCTGGCGGACATGGGCGGAGTCCTGGAACTTTATCCAATCAACGGTAGGAACTTATAAATATATAATAATCTCAGAACTCAGAAACACCTCGAGGGAAATTCTACAAATTTGGAACAAATCTAAGATGAACTGATTAAATCAAAGGGGTCAAAGTCGCCGCAAGCGAACAAAGCAAATGTTTTTCTCTATGAACACATTATCTATGAACACATTATCTATGAACTGAGGTGACAAGTGAACTGTGGCTCATACGAGTCTGGACAGAGAACCCATGTAAACAGAGACAGTTAGAGGAGGCACACAACCACAGGACGACAATTCTAGATTTTAATCACACAAGGAATTACATTTCCTCAAAAGAAGTGAGAGTCAGGCTTGTGGAAGCAGAATGGTCTGAAGCAGAGATCTCCTCCTATAGAATTAGAGCTCAGCATGTGGAGATGCAGCAACTGTGACAAACAAAGACTTTGTGTTAAATACTTCGTTCCTGATCCTCTGCTCCGTGCAGGCAGTGCCACGGTGGAGCGTGAGGGGCTGTCGGGGAGCCTGGTGAAGGACATGAGGAACTACTTCCAGATCAGCCCAGAGTACTTCTCCATGCTGCTGGTGGGGAAGGACGGTAACGTCAAGTCCTGGTACCCTTCACCCATGTGGTCCATGGCCATCATCTACGACCTGGTGGACTCTATGCAGCTGCGCAGACAGGAAATGGCCATCCAGCAGTCGCTGGGCATGCGCTGCCCCGAGGACGAGTACGGTGGCTACGGTTACCACCAACACGGATACGAACACGGTTACCAGGACGGCTATCACCAGGGCTACGGTTACTAACCGGTGCGTGGGTGTGTTCTAACCCGGGATGCACAAGTTAAGCTGGTGCTTCTCTCTTCTTTCCTCCACCAGACGGAGTCGTCCTGAATGTTTCCTAGCACTTAGTGGAAGCTGCTGCTTTCACCTCTCCACTTCTTTCATGTATCACACAGTCGGTTCATTCTGACGACTTTACGGGGCTTTCATCCCAGCGGGGCTTTCATCCCAGCGGGGCTTTCATCCCAGCGGGGTTTTCAGTTAAAGGGCAGATGAGGCTGGAGGTTCAGGGATCTGTTGAATACTTCAGTGTTTCACACGTTGTTGCTTTAAGTTTCCTTAACTTCAGGTCAGATTTACATCGTGGTGTTTCCAGCACAGACCTTT